GAAGGAAGGAAGGAAGAAAAGAAAGGAAGGAAGAAAAAAGGAAGAAAGAGGAAAAATAGAAAAAAAACCAAACCTTTACAAAACCAATACATCAAAAGAGTCTGAAAACATGCAACACTACACCCATGGATTTCCTGTCTCTTCAAAGGAGTGGGATGGGGCTGTCTTCTCATTTCTCATCTTAAGTGCCATGCTTTGAACCCATGTATTCTAACTCCAAATCCAATGTTTTTTCACCTATGCCTAAATCCTCATTTTCCTGTCACCTAAATCTTCACCCGTTCTTTTTTTTTCCTACTTGAGTAGAAGTCAGTGTTCTTCCTTCCTGATCAATAGTTTGGCTGGATGTAGTGGTAAACAAAATATACTGCTAACAAGGCTTTAAATGGGGGCATTTTGAGGGCCACTGTTTAGGTGTGATTCTGTATTGGTAGAGGGAATGATTATTCACGGTGTGCCTGTGTGAGGGGCAGAATTGACCCAAGAGCTTCAGAGAGGAGAGGTATTCTTCTTCATTCCTGTTTTGAAAGAGAGACACTCACACGTTTGGTTCCAGACTCTTTTTAGGATCTACTCTGGGGAAAGAGAGATATGTAGAGATATACATAAAAGGCAGGAAAGCTGGTTCCTCAATATGTCCTCATTTCTAGCCTGCCTCCATAGAGACTTTGGGGAGTTTCTGTGATCAGGACCTTTTTCTTGGTTGAGCTATCTCACTCTCAATGGAGAATACATTTATTCTGTCTTTCAGATAGAATTTGAGAATTCTAATTTGTTGTCAGGATCTCTATTCACTATTTGTGATAATCTTTTGTTTAACTAGTATTTGGAGGAAAGGAATCAAGCCCATAGATATAAGTTTGGGGTTACCCTTTCCCCTTTAAAGGATATTTTTTAAATATCTTTTTTGTGGGAAATTTCTTTTCTTTTCTTTTGGTTACAGGACTATTTATTTATTTTTAACATTAATTTTTTAAAAAAATTTTGGGTTCTAAATTCTCCCCTTTAAAGGATACTGAGGAAAGTAGCTTGAATATAAAAAATGACCCCTGCCCAGCAATATTTAGTAGAACTGATAGACATAAATCCAATCTGGTACCCCTCTCTTTCTCTGAAGAAAAGAGTGGATAGCCTTTCTCCTGCTCACCTCCAGGAAAAAATCAAAATTTTCCTTGGAGAGGGATGGGTGAGATTTCCAGAAATAGCTACCAATACCTCCGTATGAGCCACATTTAGACAATGTTGACATAGACATTTTATATGGACAATACACACTTAACATTACATTCAATTGTTTCCATAGCAACTATCTCAGTTCCATCTACTCTTATACAGACTAGCTTGTTTTAAAAGATCCTAGCCTTTTTGCAATGATTAAATGATTTAAAAATACTGTGCTGGATACAATAAGTAATTTTTTATTATACGAAATTGAAAAGCTTTTGCATGAACAAAACTAATACAACTAGAAGAAGGAAAGTGGGTAGACTGAGGAAAAAAAATCATTGCATCTAATATTTCTGATAAGGATCTGCTATCTAAGATATATAAAAATGAAGACAAACATATAAGATCAAAAGCTATTCTCTAATAGAGAAGTAGTCAAAGGATATGAATAGTTCTCAAAAGAATTACAAACTATTCACAGCCATATGAAAGAATACTCCAAATCACTAATAATAAAAGAAATGCACATAACTCACCTCAAACCCAGTAAATTGGCAAGGATGATAAAAGATGGGAATAGTTAATGTGGGGGACTTGTGGAAAGATGATCTCACTAGGGCATTGTCGGTGGAGCTAGGGGTGTGGAATACTATGTTTAATATCAATATGTTAGTTAATTTTGTGGAACTTTTTTTCTTTCTTTTTTAAAGAATCATTATTATAGGGGATGACTTTTTGTAAGAAAAAGGGGGAGGAATACAGTGGCAAATATAAGTGATATTAAAACAAAAGAAACCCAAAAAAGTGTTTTCAAAGAAAATATATTACAGTTATGTATATATGCAAAATAAAGAAGCATCATACTCCTAAAATTAAAAAATAAAGATACTATACTCTTTATGTGAGATTTAAGCTTTAAGATTTAATTTTTCAAGGGAAATTTTGATTGCATGCAGATCTTTGCTGTATGCTGGTTTTAAAATCTAATCCTATAGTAAAACGAATATGAATATGCCTACATTGTAGGATGACTGAGGTCAAAGGGTATGAACAGTTTGGTAATATTTCTCAAATAATTCCAAATAGTTTTCCAGAACGGTTGGACCAATTCCGCTTATATCTTCTTGACTAATTTAAAAGATGTGAGGTACTCTTAGAGCTAATTTAATTTGCATTTCCCTTATTTTTTTTTAGCAATTTGTGAAAGTTTTTATATTGAGTTTGCAATTTTCTCTTTTGAAAATTTCTCATCTTAAAACCTAGGAAGACTTGCATGAAGTGATGCTAAGTGAAGTACTCAGACCCAGGAGGACAATTTATACAGTAACAGCAATATTGTAAAGACAATCAACTTTGAAAGAATCAGTAACACTGATTAACACAAAGACCAACCACAATTCCAAAGGATTTATGATGAAATATTCCATCTACCTCCAGATAGAGAACTAATGGATTCAGAGTGCTGATTAAAATCTATTCTCTTTTTCTTTTCTTTCTTTCTTTCTTTTTTTTGGGGAGGGGGAAGTGCAGGGGGAACATAGGTAATGTGGACATTTGTTTGCATGACTATCCTATACTATATATTGTAATGGGTTTTTTTTCTTGCCTCTTCAATGGGTGGAGGAAGACGGGGATGGAGAGAATTTGGAAGTGAAAATAAAATTGAATTAAAAAAAAACCTCTCATATCTTTTGGCCATTTATCAACTGGGAAATAAGTCTTGTCCATATATTTGTGCAAATTTCCTATATATCTAGAAACAAGACATTTATCAGAAATACTTGATGTAAAGATCCCTCCCCCACATTGGACATTTTCTCTTCTTATTCTAGTTCATGTGAAAGCTTTTTAATGTTATGTAACCCAAAATTTCTCCTTTACCTTTTATGCATGTATATGGATACACCCACAAACACATATGATTCTCCCCCAGCCATAGGTATGAAAAGTACCTCTTATTATCTAATTATTTCTGTAATATGACCTATTATATTTGGGTTGAGTATTCATTTGGAGGTTCTGTGGCATATCCTACAAGTTGCTGTCTAAACATATTTTCTACCAAACTGATTTTCAGTTTTGCCAACATTTCTGGTCACATAGGGAACCTTCCCTTTGTGTTATTGTTTCTTGGATTTATTGAACACTAGGCTAATATGTTACATTACTTCTCAGTCTTGTTTATCTACTCTATTCCATTATCTACTTGTCTATTTTTAATCAACAAAAGAATAGTTTTGACAACTGCTTTGTAATATAATTGAGATCTGGTCATGCTATGCTCTCTTTAGTTCTACTTTTTTTTTTATTTAGTGGGAGGCATTCTGATGTGAAGCATATGTGTATTAGGTATTCTGGAATAGAAGAGAGTTAAATGCTGGATGGTGGTAGGGTGGAGTGGATTATTGTTAGTTATTCACGTTGTCATAAGATTTAGAGCTAGACTTTTTGTGGTGGCAAAGAATTGGAAACTGAGGGGATTCCTATTGATTGGGGAATGGCTAGCTGAACAAATTGTGGTATATGAACGTGATGGAATATTATTGTTCTATAAGAAATGACAAAGGGGATGGTTTCAGAAAAACCTGGGAAATCCTGTATGAACTGATGAAAAGTAAAGTGGACAGAACCAGAACAATCCTACACAGTAACAGCAATATTATAAAGATAAATCAACTTTGAAAGACTTAGTAACTGATCAACATGACAACCCTTCAATTCCAAAGGATTCATGATGAAACACGCAATCCAACTGCAGATAGAGAACCGATCGTCTCAGAGGGCAGATCAAAACATATTTTTTTCCTCTTTCTTTTTCTTATCCTTTTTTTGGGGGGGTGGCCAACACAGAAATTTGTTTTGTATGACTATACATATTTGCAATAAGTTTTGTTTTTCTTGTCTTCTCATTGAGTGGGGGAGAGGGAGAGAATTTAGAACTGAAAGAAGAATTTTAAAACTGCATTTTTTTAAAAATGACAAAAGATTTAGAGCTAGAAGGGATCCTTGTCTCATTGGATTTTCTGAGATGGACACCATCTTCAGGTTAGAGCCTGACTCTAGGAGAGACAAATTCTATCCCTCCAAATCCCTCCCAAACTGACTACACTGGCTGGATAAATTCCATTTTAGTTCCTTTCAAATGTAAAGAAGATACCTTTGGGCTAGGGGAAAAGAAAAAGAAAAGGGAGGAGAGAAAGGGGGAGAGAGAGGTGGAGAGAGGGAGGAGACAGACATGGGGGAGAGGGAGAAGGGGAAAGAGCCTCAGGGGAGGAACTGTGGCAGGGCAGCCTCAGGCCGATGATCAAACAGTCTTCCACAAGGCAACCAGAGCCCCAAATAGGAAATGGCTGGGAGAGGGATCCAATTGGGACTATGTTGGTGAGAGCCTTTACACCTGGATACTGATAAGGTTAGGGTTGTGGACAGGAGAAAGGGGAAAGAGCCTCCCACCCTGTTTTATGCCCTAGCCTGGTAAGGACATAGACCCCGGAATCTTTAGATCCACAAAAGGAGCTTCTCTCACTCCACCCCACAACCCAATTTCTTCCGGTCTTTTAACAGACTTTAATTCCACCGTAACCCTATTATACAAATTAAGCTCTTTCATCATCCAGACCTTTCCACCTTTCCTTTTCCCTGCCTTCCTACTGTTTCCCCCTCCCCATCTCCCCTCTCACACACACACACACACACACACACACACACACACACACACACACACACAC